CCTTGGAATTTACATCAAGCATCGGAAGGACTCCTTATGTTTTTGACAAGCTCTCTTTAGATACAAATAAAAGAAAATCTTTCAAAGCTCTTTTTTATATTTTTAATATATCATTAATAATTTATAAATGAGTGCACAAACGGCACAAACTCAAGGACTTCATTCAGTTGAGTTCACAATTGAAAAGTCTTAAAGGAGGGAGGAGAGTACTCAAGTGGAGCAAAGAAAAATCCGCTAAACTGTATGATTAATTCATTATTTATTTATGACATTTACAGATGGCGTTGGTAAAAACAGAATGCGAATTCGTGATGAATGTAGCCAAGGTCCTTGTAGGTGTATGTAAGGCTTCCAAGGCTTCTTCTTCCCAGAGAGATTCGTCCTTGCACGCATCATCTGTCAGTGGGTGGGACACCAGCCCCTTGTTGATGCTAATGTTATGCAAGCAAGGCGAGAGCTCCCGAACACCCCCACATAAATATGCATAGAAAATGCCTAAAAGTTAATTACCGTCAACATTCTGAGTGGCGGCTGTTCCGAGCGAGGAGAGGGAGAAGTGAAAAGAGTGGGCGTGTTCTATGGGCGTTGATTTTAATTTATGGCAGACAAACTTTTCCCCCCGCCAAACCCACACACACACACACCCAGAGTGTGCTGGTAATTTAATATTCATGACCATGTTAAAATCAATGCAAAAGATGGAGACGATGCTACTTCTGTGTGGCTGGCCCCTGGGCTATGCCAATCTAATTAGCAATATTTTATTTTAACGACCAAAGTGCTAATTTTAATTGAAATTCCCTGCTTCGAAAGGGGGTGTCACATCCTTTCCCTTGCCTATCTTAATTCTTTATTTTACGGTAGCCTCAGCTTCCTCTATCTCGGTTTACCCTTTTCCCCGATGTCTGCCAATAATTACCCTCATCAAATTTTTCTATGTACTTTAACTTTAAAGAGCAAAAAATTGATGTTTTCCTTGTGCGGGTTAGCCAGGGGACCCTCATGGAAAGAAGCATGTGAAAAGTGTTTAATGAAAGTGCTAGGGAAAGAAGAAATTTGGTAAGAAAATGTAAAATTCTATTTCAAAGTAAGTTCTGCTTCAGAATCTCCAATGAAAACTTCTTTGTAACTCCCTTTTTCATATATTTCCTTGCTCTTTTTTTCTGCTCTTGACTTAAATCCTTCGACACACATATTATTCCATACACACCCACATTTTGCCATTATGCCACTTGACATTTGCATTTCAAATGATCCCGCTTGTTGACTTTAATTAGCTGAGATTTGTAGCTGCTCTCCCAGTTTTCTCCCCCCTTTTTCCTACACATGCTAATAGCTTTTCCCTTTCCCTTGCGATTCAGGAGTATAAGCTTTGGCAGGTCCTTTTGCTAGTAATTGAACCGAAGGACTAAGCTATGTTATTTACCTTGTATTTGCATAGTTGCAAATTCTTCGAAAAGAGCTGGAATAGAGAGAGACTAAAAAAACATTGGAAAATGCGCTGTCCTGTCCCTATCCCTGCGGCGGTTTTTCGTTTTGGTCGTGGAAAGTCTCATTACCAGAGCAACAACCACAACGAATCGATTTCCTGGGCAGGGTTCCCTTCAGCCCCTCTGGCGAGCTCATACAGGTGGAAAATGCGCAAAAATTCATTGTGCAGAAAAAGTTTTCCCTTTAAAAAAAATGTATATATGGCGGTGGGGTAAAACCCACCTCACCTGCCTTTGGCTGCTGCTTTCTGCTCTTTCTACCAGCGAATACAGGCGTGGGGCGTGTTTTTGGGGGAAAAGTGTATTAAAATGTAAGGAAATGTTGTCTTCCCACTGGCTCACAGCTGTGCTCAGCTGCTCGGAAACAAACAAAAAAGGAACAAAATAAAATAAAAAACAGAAGCCCGGGGAGACTTTCCCCTTTCCCCAGTTACTTTGTGGCCATAAAATGCTTTAAAATTAAGCATAAAATATTTAAATTCAAAATGAAATGAACATTTTTCGAGTGCTTTAATGCGCAGGAGGCAGCACCTAGAATTTATTTATACTTTTTGAGTTTTTGCGATTCTATTTAAATTTGCATTTTATTGCAATTTGTTTGATATTTGCCGCTGCTCGTTGTTCTTCTCCGTTGGCAACATAAATTCTTATTTTATTTTATGTTATTTTATGCATTTGCCTTTATTACCCAACCCCCCAACAAGCCATTTTGCTCTCCTTGAGAGTCAGCCAAAAAGGTATATCTCCTGCCGTCTTTGCTGGGCTTGGTTTTTTGTTCTGGCTCACCAAATGATAATTTATGCAAATGTCTGTAGTCGTAGTCCCGTGGAAAATCGCTGAGGGTTGCAACAAAAAAAGTAGGGAAGAAAAAGCCTCCCAAATTCGAGCAGCGAATCCATTTTCCATTTCCATTTTAGTTTGCTTTTCGGCTGCTGCCGCTCTTTGTGCTGACATGCTTTTGTCATTTATTTTGTTTATCTCCTTTGGCACTGTGCTTTTTTACATGTAACAAATTATTATTATGCTTTGGCCATTTTTAGCTGATCCAAGCGGGTTCCTTTTGGCCAGAAAATCGGGGCCAGAACCGTTGAGTAATGAGCTGCTTATCGAGAGGCCGAAGAAGGTATAACTCTGACGGGTTTCCGAGAGTTAATGATATGACTTCATCTTGTGCGTGCTCATTTTGTTTACTGAATTGTTAATGCTGGACATGGGAGATAAATAAGGCTTATAACTCAGATATATATACAGTATATTTTCACCTACCTTACTTCAAAGAGAGCACCCTCAATGTCAATGGCTCTTTGCCAAATTCCTATATTAGTTTCGTTTACATTTCAATTGCATTGGCATTTCTTTTTCCCCATTTTCCTCCTTTTCCGATGATGCACATCTCTCTCAACTTGCTCTAAGTAGCCAATTGACAACTACAAATTGAACATTTATTTTCCAGCTGCAGCTCAAAGGGATCCGTGGGTGGAGTGTTTTCACATAGACATGTGGACATGGCGCCCAAAGGACTCAAGTGGTCTGCAGGAACTTTCAGGGAGATCTATGTTTGAGCAGCTAAAATAATAGAATTTTCCCCTAAATTTAGTCCAAGATGCCACTGCCTTGGTCCATATGCAAATGTCTTAGACATGGGTGGCTGACTATCGTCGTCATCGTTCTTGAACTTTTTCGGATACGTCCCGATTCCCCTCTACTCATTTCTATTTGTTTATTTGTTTTCTTTTTGCCATTTGCCTGCATGCCACTTTGTCATGGTCGTCTCCGTCGTCATTATTTCTTCGGTTTTTTTCCTCTTGAGCCATGAATATTTTCATATTTTCATTTTACCACTTTGGTGGGGCTCCTGCCTGCAACCGCTTACTTCTGCCGGCTACTAGTGCCTTATCCTGGCAATTGTGAGCCAAACTTTTGGCTGCTGTTGCTGCTGGCTTTTCCCTTGCTTTTCCTAGCTTTCCCCTTCTCAGAGGTCGCATGTGTAGGACTATGTTATTTAATAGGCTTTTGTGAGTGGAAAGACGAGCAGCAAATGCCTGAGAGTGCGGCACAGTGGGGTGATACTATAATGATTTTAAAACTATATTTATAAACTTAGAAAGAGAAAATACATTCCATATTTAAGGTAAATATTTCATATATTTTATTTGAATTGGAAACTAATGGTAAATGCAATAACTTACTATTAGAACAGTCTTGTTTATTTTAAATACATTTCTTGCCTGAAAGAATCCAAGTATATTTAAGATATTTTATAAATATCCAAGGCTCAGTTCCACTGTCAAACAAACGTCTTCTGTTTGCTCCCTGTTCCTTTCCCTTGACTGCCCCTCTCCAAATAGATTTCCATCTCACCCTTGATGTTTGTTTTGTCTGTCTGGAAGTCCTTTGCCTTTTTCCAAGAGTAGTCTACATGTGTTTGCCCGTTGTCGTTGTTCTCTTGCAACCCTCAGAGCTGAGGAGCAACAGAACTCCTACCACAAGCACCTTCCTTGGCTGCTTCCTTCCTATATATTATATGTACATATATCTACATAACCTATCCTGTGTGGTTGCTGCTGTTTTGGTAATGCGTTCAGATTATTAAACATATTTTGCTGCCGCCTGACAAATGGCAGGACAAACTTTCAACTTGTCTGGCATTTTCGTAGATATTTGCGCAATTAAAGGAAGCAAGTTACTTTAAGTGTTCAATAAAAGGCAGAAATGGGAGAGGGTTTGCAGTCGTAAGTAGGTCAGGCCATTAAAACAGGCCCTGGAAACACCCCCGAAAAGGAGATTTATGTGGCTAAGGGTATATCCTATATATGGTTTCCGTTGCAGCTCCTTGTTTAATCGTTAAAGCAAAAGGTCCCTTCACTTAAAGGGGGGAATCACACGCACTTGGAAGAGGAGGCACCTGCCAAGGAACAACACACATTCCGGTTAACTTAACTCTCGAATCCCTAGACTCTCGCTTTCGGTGGAGGAGAAGAAGTTGCTGCTAAATGCTTTCTGATTGTTATTTTTCGTGTTTCCTCGACTTCCCCCGTTGGCGCTTTTCCGATGTTGCTGCGAAATTACAATTATTACACGGTCCTCCCACCCGGAGTTTTCCACTTCTTCTTGCAGTTTACTGCTGCTTCTGGCTCTCGGGCCAAGCTGTTTCCCCTAAACTTTGCTTTTTGCCGGCTCCCAATGCAAAATCTGGTAATGTAGGCGTGTTTAACACAATCTTAAGTTGTTCGTAATGACTTTGTGGCGTATTTGGACGGGGTTTGGGCGGTTGATATGGGTCCGGAGGCTTACTCCGGCTCCGGCTCCGGCTCCTCTTAAAGCTGTGGTCGCCTCCCAGTCGGATTTAATGAAAAAAGTTTGACACTTGATAAGGACAACTCCTTGGAAACGAGAAAATGTGAAGATGGTATTGAGGGAGGGTAGAATGTTTAAATTGCATTATCGTAAGTTGGTTTAAAATGAAATAGCCTTATAATATATACTCATTTTCTGAAATAATATTACTCGATAGGTGGCTTATATTTGTCCATCATTTAATACTTACAGCTTGTCAAAATTATATCTAAAATTTAAAAAAAAGGTCTAGTGTCATATCCCTTTTCAACATTATCCTGGCCCAAGCCCATATCCATGGAGGACGATCTAGAGTTCCTTATAAACGCCTTGTCCGTACCAAATACTCTGCTGACGGAGCCCTACGATGAGAGGGAGCTGCTGGAAATGCGTGATTCCTTCAAAACTCTTCAAAAACTTTTACGTCGAAATCCCATTGACGTGGAGTCCAGTATGAACATTACTCCAAGGTCTAAGGCCGGAGGAGGTACAGCCAGGCGCCAGGAGCAGCGAGCTCTATCCTCGATGTTGGCCCTTGTGGGGGAGACTATGAACATGCCAGCACGGCATGGAAGTCGGCGGATAGTGGAACAAGGACATCGCCGATTATATCGGAATGTGGCTTGCAAGACACTGATCTGGATACCCATTTCAGTGACACCTCCCTGTGTCTAGGCGAGGAAGAAGACCTGGCCCTGGTGCCATACAATCGGTTCAATGACGATAGAAGTGACTCGGAGACCACGCTCACTGGCCAGTCCCCTACCAGCTCCTCGATCTCGATCAGCTTTCCTATTCATTTGGTGTGGGACAACAAGGAGTACACCAAGGAGACGGACACGGACAGTGATACAACCTTGAAGCCGGATGGGGAGAGGTTTATTTCGGTTAACAAACCGCAAAATTCAAAAGATTTGAAAATCTGCAGTTCTGCTTAATCAAAATTATCAAATGTGAGAGGGGATATATATATTATTTTTAATTAAAAAACTCGTATACTTATTTCTTTAGAGATACTTGTGCATATCATTAAAATAGTCAAGTGTAAGAGGTTACTTTTTCTGTGATTTGAAAAGGCATTTGAGCATTTCAAGAGCAGTACAAGTGCACCTCAGATAGTAACTCGAGATCAAGGATCAACGCCATCAAATTATAACGCATGACCTGGACCCCAGACACAGTTTTAATGAGTAGAAATGCCTGGCATGTTGATGTAACCCCTGTGCTTATCCTATGGCTCCTGTAAAAGCGATTAAAACGGAAATTTAATTGAAATGCGCACATTTGCGTAGGCATTTGCCCATTTCCGTTTGACTGGACACGCAAACCACTCGCAGATGCCCAGATACTCACTCACTCGTATCCTCATACCTTGAACTATTGTATATAAACGAGATATGAAATGCCATTCTGAATGTTTATCTGCAAACTGACGGCGGTCATTTTGGCGAGAATTTTGCGTGCAAATCCTGTGTCTGCTATTTTTAGTCCTGGCAATTCGTGAGCTATATATTTTTGAGCTGTGAGCTGCTCTCTGTGAGTGTAACTTCAATATTTTCCGGTGTTGTTTGCGTGCGTGTTGCAATTTCCTCACATAGCCGAAAAATCTAATTTAATTTCGTATGAAATTTGCTGCTGCCTATTCCCGCCTTTAGCCCATTTCCAATCTCCATTTGTATTGAAATGTTTGCCAGTGAGTGTGGTTTGAACAGGTGAGGCCTTCGAGCAATTTGCTTTCGCTTTTCCTGGTTTTGATTTTCCCCATTTTCAGTTTGTTCGTTTGTGTTTGAAATGGAGTTTTGTGGGTGTTTATTTCGCTCTCTCTCCGAATGCTTTTCCGACTGCCCCTCCTGACTGCTCTTTTGTCAAATTTGGTTTGGGTTTACACACTCGTCGTGGCCATTTATTGTTATGCATATTAAGCGCTGGCATGTACGGCATGGAATGCCAGGAAAGAAGGAGGCAGGGCGTCGGCAAATGCAATAAAAATGTTGTATGCCAGCAATTAGTTTAATGGTCGATCGAAAGGATGGATAGGAATGCAGGATACCAAGAGGTTGAGTTCACAGAGTTGTGGTTTTCTTTGCTTTTGCATTTTATGAAATTGCCGAGAACGTACATATTTCCATTGATTAAAACATTGCTTTCCTTGTTTCTTCTCTTTTTTACTTTCTCTAAATGTTCTTGCTCTTTTCAAAACAGTTCTCATTCACTTTTCCAGACGCTATATATCTCGCCTTTCAGCGCTTTTCATTGAATTTCCCGTCTGACACACACAACCCTCTGTCTCGGTCTCGCTCTTGTGGGGCATGTAATTGCAAATCCAATTAATTTACGAACTAGTCACAGCAAATGTGCTACTAAGTAAGACATAAATAGCACAAGCTCCACACTCTGAGTCTGAGTCGGAGTCGAAGTGAGTTTTCCACAATTTAAAGTGTGTGTCTCGTGTTTTGCTGGGAGAGAGTGAATTTTCCCGGCTCTGACGCCGTTTCAAGGAGTGTGCTCAGGTTGACAAATGCACAACAATTAAGTGAGTAAGAAGTAGAAGTAGTTCCTGGGAAATTCATGCTGACGAAGATGATGCCCGGGGGCTGCCATGGAAATTGAAAACTTGGTGAGTCCTCCCCGCCGGATCATTTCGGGTAGATGAACATCCATTTCGCTTTAATGCTTCCGTGGCGAGCATTAAGAATAAAAAATAAATGTGTAAACTGGGGAACCTGAGGAAGAGAAATTATGCTAATAAATCGCGGCGACACGTGTCGTTGTACTCTCGTTACAGGGGACTTTTCCCTTCTCCCCCGCCTAATGGACATGCACTGAGTATTATTCACTAAAAAAAAACCGAAACATTGTTGCACTGCCCTGGATTATTATGAACTCCGGCACTGGGCACTCCTGCACGTGGTGTTTACACATCATTTACATAAAACGGGCAACAACTTTTTTGCAATTTCTTAACGAACAGCAAAAGGAAAGCCGCCATTCCACCAACAAAGTTGTTAATTATACTTGACTGGACGACAGAGTTCTGGAAATACAAAATACAAAAAAGAGAAAAAAAGGTACCCGGCTCGGTACCTTGCTCACTCAGCCTTTGATAATGAAAGGAAAGCGATGGTCTGGGCCTCGGGGTTCGGGATTCTCCAGGACCTGCCCGCTTATGACGTGCTGGAAGGAACCCATTAATCACAGCTGCACGGCAGCTTTACATATATACACTACTATACTATATATAAGTTGTGTATTTCCATTCCGTTTCATTTTTTATTCCTTATCCTGGTACCGGGGGGTTCCTTTAAGGACTCCCGAAATGGGAAAGTTGTTTTCCTGCTCAGTCGCGTGCGCTGCATTTGGCCAGAAGGAGCGCAGATTAAACAATTTAAGGAAAAAACAGTGCTCTACCTAATTGTAGTAATTAATAAGTTTAGTTTACAGCCCTCCGATGAGGGAAATTATGCGATGATTAATAGCGATAAATGGGACAAGTTTCGGTGCAAAAGGTGAGCACATTTGGATAGGTGGGTTGAGAAATAATTAATTAAACGATTTTGGGGTGGCGAAAGTATATCTAGCAAAGAGTGTACTTCCGGAAAATAAGAAAATATAAATGCTATAGGTTTAAAAAGTATTTTATATATTTAAAATCACTAAGGAAACTTCTTTTAAACGACTTACCACTCTTTACAAAAAGAGAACAATCCCACTAGATCCTTTGACCTGTCCAGGCATTTGGCTATCTGAAAAAAGGTGCAATCCAAAAATGTAATTACATGCCCCAACGAATCGTAAGCAAGGCCAGAGACAATGCCCAGTTGTAGAGAGACAACAAACAAATATTTTTAATAAGTGGATAGGATAGCCAAGGCCCGAAGGGTGCACGTGCGTCGTCGCCGTAGTCCTGGCAACCTTTACGTTTTCGTTTGGCATTTTCCAGAAATTGCAATAAAACGTATGGCTGAGCAATTGTGCTCCGGACGAGTAATTTATAAATACTCGTCCCGCTAAACAGAAAATCCTTTATTTTCCCAATGATGATGATGCTGCTGATGCTACTGCTGCTGAGAGAAACTAATTTCCCGGACAAACATGAAAAGGCCCGGCTGCATCCATCCCCCTTTGGCAAACACACCCCCTCGGAAAAGGTGTGTGTGTGTGTGTGTATGGATCGCTTTTAATTCCCTTTTCCGTCTGGCTTCCTCGGCGAGATTTTCGGTGGTTGCTGTGTTACGAGAAAAGTCGCTTTTTTTCCTCCCATCCGACCTGGACGCTTAGTTAATTTCCACTGCAACGCTGCATTCAAAATTAAATCCTCGACGGACTATTTGTCATTTTTGACAGTTCAAACTGCTTTCCGGTGAAGGGAAATGCGACTCTCGTGCAAAAATTGCGGCTTATGGTGGCACATTTATTTTCCTCCTTTGTCCCTTAAACTTATATTCCCAGAGCAGCGTCGCAACTTCTGTTGTCAACGCGATCTGCTGCGATGTTGTTTGTAATTAGAGCTATCAGAAAATATTGAAGTTGTGCTTAAGGGGGATTTTTCCGGAAGTTTTCAAGTTAAAATTGAGATGGAAAAGGGAAGCGGAAGTTTGCTATTTAATAAACCGGATAATAAAGTATTTTAAGGGAGATAAAGAGCTGCCTTTGATATCTTATATATCCTGAGCTAACTTCTAACAAGTTATGCTCATAACTTTGGTTAAGAGAAATATTCCTGACAGATATCTAACCTGGTTTATATCCAAAGAGAGCGGTTCATAAAATATTATGTTTATTTGTTTAACTTTTAGATCAAAACACACCATTTCTCAGATATTTCTATTTTATTATTAATTTTATTTTCAACTTAAACCTACTACGTGCAAATCCCTTAAAGTTATCCCAGGTTAGACCTCAACTTTTAACCCCACAGCCTCTTCCCAAACTTTTCCCATTCACATAAATCTCAGTTAATCTGCTTAACTTCCAAATATTTGCTCACAAATCTGCTCACATCACCGCTTTTTTGGCAGAAACAAAATGCTCTTCCCGAATGAATATCCCCCGAGGGCAGTGACAGATTAAAATCAAATCATCTCGTAAATTGCCACAACTCTTTTTCAAAGTCTGCACCAAGGATATTAACGCCTTAGTCCGCTTAATGTGACCCTTTCTCCTATGAAAATCATAAATCATCAAATATAATAGACCAGCGGCGGATAACGAAATTGAAAACGCAAAAATTTGCATTCAAAGAGCGCACACATGACGAGATTCGCCTTTAAGTACATAACAATCAAATATGATGGTTTTATTGAAGGCTCGAGGAAGGGTTCTTCCCGGGATTATGAAGGGAGTCCTGGCAACAGTTGCGAGTCGAATCGAATCAAAATGGGAGCCACAAATGCCATTCATTCCATTGTCCAAAGGCCTCTCTCCGGAGGGGGTTGACATCGAATGCGCCCCATTAAAAAGTTTTGTCAAGTTAAATTACCAAAAATTGCAAATTGCTTGGATTAAACACGACGGCGAACAGGGACAAGGACATGGCCACTTTCACTTCCTGCTGCTGCTTCTCCTGCTGGCCATTGTGTGGCCAAAGGATTTCATACACTCAATATAATTAAGGGTTCGAGCCTCTGGCCCGAGTTTTCTCAGTCCCTGAGCCTGCCCTCGCCGGCAGGAAGGAAACTTTGTGTGTGTCCTGGCAACAATTTTGGCTGCCATTGTGCGGCCAGAGTTGCTGGCCAGAGAATTTGTCGCAGGGCCTTCTGAATTGTATGTTAAATTAAATTTTACCACAGAGACCAGTCTGGCCAAGTCATTGGGTCCTCATCCTGCTCCTCATGCTTCTTCTCATCCTCATCGTCTTCCTCTGTCCAGTGACTGCTCCTGTGGCTTGGTGGGATTGCCTGGCCGGTCGGCTTGTGGCATTAAGTTGTCTGTTTGTTGAGCTTGACAGATTTTCATTTGCTTCGGTCTGGGATGAGGGGCAGTTTGTGTTTTGCCCTGTGTGCTGTGGTCCAGGTCATGGATAGGCATATAGACTTAATAGTCTATAATTTCTGTCTCCTTTTTCCAAACAAAAATATGTTGACTTCAAGTTGGTTTTGCTAACATTTCTATGATTTTGATTTGAAGTTAAATTGGTAAAGGTAATACCTGAAAGGGAGTGATAAAGTTTCAAAATTAAAGAAACAAGTTGAAGCTGAATAGTTTTCTTTAAAAATAATATGTGCTTGCAACCTTGCAACTCTTGGTAACTTTAAAGGAACCCTGAAAAAGACTTACATTTTAATTAAATTTCTTTCTTTCTTTTATTACAGGTAATGTTCCAATGATTGTCTCTGTTATTCCAAACCGTCAGAAATAAGTGCGTAAGTTTAAGCTAAATTGTCTCTTGCAATCAGCGGGCTGTTGGTTCTATAAATCAATAAAACAATGACAAGAAGACTATCCTTGGTAGACCTAATTCCATGGGCTGAAAGTGCCCTGCCATATATCACTTGACTGTGTCTTCGGCTGATTGTCATCGTTGCTTAAACGACCCGCGGAGTGCCCTCCCTGCGTATACGTAATATGTGTAGCACTCCCGCCAGGGCACTTACTTACTATAGTTGGGTTTTGTGGAATTGATGTCGGTGAGTGAGAGTGCGGTTGCCACGGGAATAGGAGGCGGTGTGGCAGCGTTTCCACTTAATAGGCGCACATGAGACTCCCGACACATAAAAACCAATTTCGCGTAAGTGATAAAAATGCAATGAGCATTCGCATTCGGATCCAAGTCCCACACGAGATACTGATTGCGATTGGAATGGGGATATATGTACATATGTAGACGGGGAAAGGGGGATGATCATTGCGATGATGACAATCGTCAGCTGGTGATGCAGACGCCTATGAATTAAATTTACGATGCCACAGAAGTAGTTTTGACACATATATCTTAAAGAACATCGTGGCGCCATAAAAATCTGTGGCCAGCCTTAAAAGGGAAGCAATTAAGGATGGGGGCAAAGAATACAGGCTGTTTTTCCTTTTAATTGTTTAATTCGTATGCCGACATGAGGAAGGAACAAAGGCATTTTATGATTTCCACTAGAGATGGTAGGTTCTTGGGGTTCTTGGGAAATATTAAATAGGATATTGTAAGTTAAAGTTGAACTACTTGAACAATATGTTAAGTAATCTTTCTTCTCTCTATGTGTGTTTGTATAAAGTAAAGAAACAATCACTCAATGTGGTTGTACACATAATAATATTGTTTCCAAATTGGATTAGAAATATCGCTTACTCCCCCAGCCATATATTTCCTTGATCGCTCGATTTTATGGTTGGTTGTCGTGAGTATCACGCTGTCATGTCTAGAAATTCTTCGCTTTTCCATCCCATGCAGCTTTCAATCATCATCAATTTCACATAAAAGTGTCGCCCACACGACGCAACTTGCAGACGTCTTCCGCCACCATTGGCTCCTCCAGGGCTCCTCCGCAGTCCGGACCCTCATCCCGGTCCCTCCTCGGTCGTGGCTCTGCCTCTGGCGACATAATGACGAGATCATATCGACAACAGGGAGTCCGGGAGTCCGGGAGTTGGAGTTGAAGTCGCAGCCATGGTATTTTATTTTCTGCTGCTCGCTGGCTTTTGTGTAATCGTGAGAGCCTTGTGATTGTCATTGCGACGCCTCGCCTGTCTGTTGTGCACTTTTCAAGTTCAATTTCAATTTCAAGTCCAGCTGCAGCTCCTGCTCCTGCCTCCTCCAGTTGCAAATCAATCTGGTGGACAGTCAGTCAGTCAGTCATTTAGTCTGTTAGCCAGTTGGACTTGGCAAATGACCGGCAGCAGCAAACCCGTTTTATTGTGCTGCAGCGCCGCCTGTCATATTTCCTGTCTGCAAAGTGTCGAGCGAAAGTTTTATGGCCTTTTGATAGTTCCCATTGATAAAGCCAGCAGGGGTTTATATTACAGGAAATCTCACGTTAGCCCAGCCAAGTTTATACATTGATTTGTGTGCAAGGTAATTATGTTTTTAGTCAGTGAAAAGTCTTAATGACAGTCCTGTTGAATGCATCACAGCTAAAGCTATTCTTTTAGATAAGACAACCTTTCATTTCAATTTAAAATCCAATCAATTAAAGTACATAAAGGAAGGCAAAACAAAATCCGTAACTGAAAGTCAGTTTCATTGATTAAAACAAACTAAACTTACATAAGTAAATAAGCTGCCACAAAGAACATTCGATTTATTGGCAAAATGTTCCTCCTCTTCCCCTAACATGGCCCAATCCTCACCAGCCTCGGGCTGCTGACAACTGTCAGCAAATTCCCGGCTAACATGACCCGTCGTAACAACTATAATTACCGGGGTCCATGGTCCAACCCCCCAATTGAAGGCGATTTTCCTAGGCGTTGCCAGTTTTGCAATCGATAGAGCTTTACATCGAAATTGACACATTTGCTGGAAATGTGCAAAATGTTGAAATAAATTCGGGGATTGGACAAGTACTTTTTTAGCCAGCGGCGGCAGGCAAATGGGGCGTGGCTGGGGCATAATTGAAATTGACATATTTCATTGTCGAGCCCGTGCTGCCATCGAAATTGCCAAAGTAAATTTTCAATTTTCATCAAATTTATTCTTTGGGGGAGTGAGTGTGAGAGAGAGGAAGCTTCGCATTGATTTGCTTTGATTTCGATGGGACTCGGATTTTGATTTCCATTTCAACGCCCGCTGACAGCGGCGCGTTTTGCCTTTCGGCCTTTATTCACCAATTGCCTTTGTTGTAAGCCGCCGCAGGGGGTGTCAGCGGGTGGGTTTTGTCGTCTGAGGAGCTTAGGCCTCCAGCTTTTGTCTGTCTGTCTGTTGCTAAGCGCCAGCCACGAGTGTCCGTCCGTCCATCTATCCGGCCGAGTGCCCACTTTTTTTCTTTTCCCCAGCCTCACATCCTGTACAAAAACGCCAGGGATTTTTGGCGGCTTTGAACGGATTATCCGCTTGCGGGAGAACGATTTCCACTCACGGCAATGATGACAGTCCCTATTGGGAAATCTGTTCAAGTTTCAAGATTTGTTCCGTAAGTGAAAGCTAAGCGGAAATGTATTTTCTAGAACAGTAAAACTGTTCCCTAGTTTTAAATTTTTAAAGCCCAGTTAAACAATGCCACCAGGATATTTTACTCCTTTTGTTCACTTCACTGCTCTACATTTTCCCCGCAGCTGCTGCGACCCCAAAAAATTCCACTCCTGTTCCTCCTCTGGCAGTCCATAAATTACAATGCCAAAGGAAGCTGAATTACAATAGAGAACGCCAGGTTGTATTTGGGTCAATTTTTTATTGTCTTTTTTTATTTTTTGTCTTTTTTCATTTCGTCATGCAAAACAGAAGTGGCACAAATTAAAGCTTGGAGCCGGAGAACATACACATATATACTGTCGCTACCAACAGGACGAATGTCCTGGATCGAGATTCCGCCACACTTCAAGATGCAAAGCAAGAAGTGCACATAATGAACGCAAGGAATCAAGTGCCATTATCGTCCTTCCCGTCTGGGATGGATATAGGTCCTGGATTTGGTTCGCTAGCCCAGAGTGGCCAGAGCTACGGGGTCCTCGATGGGATCTGTCACCTTGGACTCATCGGAGTCCTTCGAGTGTATGTCAGTGTTCTTTAGATACCCGTGCTTGTGCTTGTTCTTGGCGGAAGTGTATTCGGAGTAGAGCTGCTGGGCCTCGCTGTTGTATTTGTCCCTCATGGCTTCTTTGAGCTGCTTGAGCAGCCCCAAGCGGTATGTGTAGTTTTCCCTCAGGATCTGCAACTTTTTCTTGTAAAGTTGCTTGGCAGAGCGCTTTCGGACAGACGCATCCGCGGATTGTGGAGCGGCTGACTTGTCATACAATAATCTTTTAGGAACGGAAATGGTTAGTTACTAACTATGAATTATAGTTTGTGTAATGTAAGAAACTTACTTAAAAGTTGAGAGGGAAGAGACCAGACTGACCTCCGTAAGTAAAGACCTCCAGTCTTGCCTTTTCTCCTCTTCCAATTTAATTTCCTTGGCATTGGCATTCTTCTTTTTTGATTCCTGAGCGCTCAATTCCGGCATTATTTCTTGAGCTTCTGTGATTGGCGACTTCTTCGGGGCTTTTGACTTATCCTTGGTATCCTTGGGCTTGTCCTTCTTCGGTTGCTTTTTCGACTTGGTTTCATTGGAATCCTTTTGTTTCTGAGCTGATTCCGTCCCTCCTGTTGCTGGATGATCCTCAATTGGCGGCTTTGTCTTCAAATTGCTGCTGGTCTCATTCTTCTCTGCAGTAGGTTCCTCGGCTCCGTTTTTCTCCTTAGTCTGCGTCTGGCTCTTCAAAGATGTCTCTGTAGAGTTTTCCTTGGGATTGGATTCTTCTTTTTGGAATTTTATGTGGTTTTGTTCCGTGTTGCTGGGTTTAACTGGCACCGTTTCGTTTAACTTTTGTTCTTGGTAGTTGGCATTTGGGACAGTTGCCGGTGCTTCTGGCTCTCCCTCGGCAATCGGGATCCCCTGCTCCTTTTTGAGAACCTCTTCTTGGTTTGCCGGTGTGTAGGAAATCAATTCCTTGATTTCACCATATGCACTTGGTGCTTTCATCTTATCTGCCGGCAAATTTTGATGATTTTCGATAATTTTGGACTGCTCCATTTTGCAAGACGAAATTTATGATTTTTTAAACAAACAAAAAAAAGTTGACCCGTTCCAGTAAACATCACATTTTGTACTGAATGAATAACTGGGATTGTGTTTGGCAGCTTGAAGATAAGTTCAAAGGCCAATTTGATTCGGAGTGAACTGAAACAAAAGGCCTTCTGTGTGGCAATCTTCAAAGCCAGGCCAAAAACTTTATCCGCTGCCCCGAAGCCTTTGGGATACACTTTGAGGGCGGCCGAGAAAAGTTTCCTCCCTGCCGCCTAGGTATTCCATAAAAATAAAGGACCAAGAAAACATAAACATAAACAAAGGCGAAGAAGGCAACAAACAGCATTCTTATCGCCTTCATTTATTATGCAAAGTTTGCTAGCCGCTGAAAATTTTCCAACTGCATGCAAAGAGGTCCTAAAACCCTATGATTCCATGACCGACCAGGAGTTTTGACCTGGGATCAGGGTTAATCAAGGAACACATTCATCAAATTGCCACGCAACACGAGGCAAAAGCATGCAATTGCACAGGAAATATTTTAAAGTTTTCCTTAATTTGTGGGAAATAGTGACGTGTTATTTTTAATACAAGAATTTTGAACAGCTGTAGGTTGAATTATTTGTTTAAAATACCGAAATGGTAGAAATTTCCTTAACTGGCCAAATGGCTCTTGGCTTTTACATTTTTGACAGCCGGAATTGTGGCTGTAAAATTTTAATAAGATTTTTTCTTTGGGGGTAACGGCTGTTCCTATATCTAAACTCGAACCCAACTGCCACACTTGCTGCTCTCGACTCTATAATGCAACATTTGCGCAGCAAGAACAATTTTTTTCGGTGGCATAGAAATGGGTTTTGTGTCTAGACAACACAGAGGACACAGAGGATTTTGGGTGCTTCCCCGGCTGATGCGGCAGTTTGGCCCCACGTAGCCGTCTGGAGCGGTTCTATCTGTGTGTGCTCTGAGATTTGGAGTAGAGTCAGAAGTGGGCCTTGGGAACATGGTCTGCATGAGTAATAAGCCATGAGCAGAGCCAGGGTTGGAAATCAGTTGAATATTTGAACAGGAAAAGGATATAGTTTCCTATTCCGAAATAATCGCTATATACATATATGTATATTTAACCGATTCGAGGAGCTGCTTACCGGATCAATGGGAATCAATGAATGTGCCAATGAACTCGTCAATGAACTCGTTATCAACGCTCACTGGTCGCTAATAGAGCGCGGGTTTTCCACGCTTTTCCACGGTTTCCCAACGACACGCGAGCACGCAAGCTTGGAGTTTCAAAAACCAGCCACGCCCCCCATGTTGGGCTCTGCCCCCCGAAATTATTACAATTATTATTATTATTATTTTTCTTGCACTGCTTATGCATATATGTATTCTGGGTCACGCACGATGCGGCAAACTGTCAGCCGGAAACGGAATTGATTATCGGCGCTACCGAATCCGGCTTTTAGCCGATCCCACCCCTTTCCATGTTCCATTTTCCCGACTTCCATAGGACTCTCCTAGCCCATATCCTCCCAGTGGCATTCATCGTATCTGTTTGCGTGCCTTGTTGTCGTTTGGCTCGTTGTGCATTCCAAATTCGGTGGCATTTAATGACTTAATTTGCCGGCTCCTCGTTTAACGGTAACTGTGGAAAATGCACGAGAAAAGTCCTTAAAAAAATGGAGAAATGTTTGTATATAGAGAGTAGTTATTCTTACAATTGAGCTTTGTATATATAAGTTGGGATATAAATATACTAGCAACCAAGAAATGCTCAGGCTAAAATGTTAGATTGGTAAATAAAGAAGATTATTATTATGATCTAGGTTAGCCAGGCTTTTCCTTTTACCTTTAGCCCTCCCTTACTACTCATTTCGTTTTCAAAATTCTTCAAAATTGTAACGTAAACTCTATCGGCTCAACTAATAAAATTATTTTTAGCCAAAATGACGGACGAAAAGGCGTAAGTTAAGCTATAACTTTGGTTCTATATATTTGTTTTCCCTCATCCTATCTGGATTTATTTCTATAGATCAACATCTGGTGGCCAACGTAAGCCTGGCTTGCAGTTCAGCACAGGAGTTGGTACTCCGGAAACCAAACGCAAGATGCTTCTTTTTAGACGCTTGCTAAGTCGAGAGTTGGCCAAGGAGGTAAGGGATGCCCAGAAAACTATCCGGGCCAGAAATCGAGTGCTTCAGGAGCAGGATATGGGTCGCTTTCCAAGATCTTGAGTGAACCAACAGATTACCCTTAGTTGGAGTAGAGTTTACGTTTCCGCATTTATATGATTTCTTCAATAAATTTTGGCACAGTTCGAGGAGGAATATATTTTTACTCTTAACGTTCTTAATAATCTATATATATATAAGGCTGACATTTGAAAAAATATTTAATTTCCGTGGCAACCCATTCCCGGGGACACTATGAAAACAATTTGGTTTAGCCAGTGCACTTTTTGCGGTTTCAACGGTTTATAATAAAGTGTTTGCCAGACACACAAAACAATGCAAATAAATAACAGCAGGACAGAGAGAGCATCCCATCCAGCTTGGAGAGGAAAGGCTGGATCCATCCCCTGGTGAAAAAGATAAACACAATAAAAAACAAACGGTGGAAAGTGGCGCAGAGGCTTTTAATTGCCATCAGACGCCAACTGTTACCATTTGTGAACTCAGTCAACTTTTATTTATTTATGTAAATTTGTTTTGCCTTTTGCCGGAATGCAAAATATTTGTCGCAAAATTGACAGCAGCACCATCGAGTCGAAACTTTGTTCTCGATCTGATGGCTGAACAAAAAGTAAAAACAAAATTGAAATTGTTTTGACAATTGGCGCAGCATCAGTGTGTAAAAATTGCCATGGAAAAATATTAGAAAAGCCATTTACGATGGCTCATGGCCTTACTAATTGGCCAGCCACCGCAGAGGGCCATCAGAACCCCAGAGATGGTGCCGATGGGTCGGAAAATAAAGGCAGTTGGCCAACTTTTGGCCAACACTTAATATGACAATTGTTTGGGGAGGAGGAACAGGAATATTTATTACGTGACAAGGACTTGATTTCACAAAGGAATTTTCCGCAATAATTGTCAGATTAACAAAATAAGGTTGCTATGTTAGCGGCGTATTGTGAACGTCTTGAAATTGTTGTTAGGCAGGGGTTCATTTTCAGAGAACACAGCCTTTTCGATGGAGGAACGGGGACTGCCCTTGTACTTGAGCCAGGTTTTCCTTATAGAGAATAGTTAAATTATTATTATTATTGTGTTAGAAAGTCTTTAAGGACACTCACATATCATTGACTTGCTCCAAAGGTCCTTCCATCATACCCTGAACAGTTCCCCGGCTTGTATTCATGCACCAGCCAGTAAGGCCCAACTCTTTGGCCTGTTTTTGAGTGTGCTTTTGTTAAGAGGTTAATTTCTGTAAGCTTTAAAAAATTCTTAAAAACAAATAAAAACTTACCTTGCGAAAATAGACTCCCTGCACAACTCCAAACACCTCAAACTGGCAACCAAAAATTTGTTTGTTTGCTTCAGTGGGTTTTTCAATAGGTTTTGGAGAAGCTTCCACCGTTTTTGGGGCCGCTGATTTGGATTTATTTATTTTACTACTCATTTTGAAACTTTTGCTTTTCTCTCTTTTATTATGTAAGTTTGCTTTTAATGATTTTCGCTTTCTAACTTACGATAATGAAGGAATTACCAAAGCTAGAACGATCTCTTTGATTTCTGTTTTGGGAACATTTAAATTCTTGCAACATTTATCAGTTATTCTTTGTACTTTTCCCCCTTAAAATGAACAACAATTTTTCACGGTAATTTGGCAGCGCGGATTCCTCATCATCTTACCTTGTCTGAGGAGCAGAGCGAAGAAGATCCTGCCTCTTGCACTTCTGCTTTTACCACTTCCGGTTCGTTAAGTTTAACGGCTGGCCAAGGCAAGGACTCCACACTTCGTCCTGGGGAGCGGGAAAAATCGGGAAAGGTGGCCAAAGGGAAGCAGATGACGCAGAGTTGTGAGGTTTTGAGTGTTCGGTGCCCCAAGTTCGGTGGAAACTTCAATAAAACGTTTGACGCCGGAGGCGAACTGACATTTTCCATTAAGTGCAGACAGCTACCGGGGAAAACAGAACACAAAAAATGGAAACAGCAGCCGAAATGCCAGCAGCTCATTTGCGGCAAGGACGAAGTACGGGGGGAAACTTTTATATTCCTGAGAGTTTTGTGGTGTAGTCACGTGTTGGCCGTTGCTTTTGTGGACTGTTGATTATGATGATGCCCTCGGTGGCTCCTAATGCGGCCCAGTCACGGCCTGGCAGGGAACTATCCCAGGATCCGAGGATCCAAGTATCCAAGGATCCGAGTAATTGAAGCTGACCAAGTTCCAAGTCCTCGGCCGCCATCAAAGTGCCATCAACAGGGACCCCTCCCTTTTCTTTATCAGTTGCACTAACTTTTGCTACAATAACATTTATTTTGAAAATATTCCATCGCTTTTCTGTCTTCTCCTCCTGTCAGACAGCCGCTCCTTTGGGGACATTTCTGAGGAGTAAAGTAATCAGAAAATATTTTGTCAGCTTCAGTTGCAGGAGCAAGCGGCGAAACTTTGCAATCGCCACTTAAAGTCCTTCAGCCAAAAGTTGAAACCGCAGAGCGGCACTTAAAACGCCGCCAAGCGCCGAACTTTAGCTCAAATATTGGATTAGCAAATTGACGTTTATGCAATTTGATTTACCCACCGCTCAGGGAAAATTAAATTTGCTGCCAGCGAGCAAATTTCACATCCCAAATTCGTTACAAATTGCTGACACAATGGAAATTTGCATATAATTTCCATATGCATTTGTCGTCGAAAGCGAAAGGACACTCACAATTTGCCAGAGCCGTCGCCTGTGATGGAGGTAAAAAGGTGCTGGATTTATGAGCAGTCGCAGGGAAATAGGCATAAATTTAATGGCTGTCCGAGGTGTAAACAACGCAGCTCTCCCTTAATTTGCATTTGCCGGTTTAGACGGAGTTAATTTATTTGCAAGTCGCTCTAAATAGAAGGGAGAACCGGCACCCCTTGGAGTTTCTCAACCAATTTCCATTAAAGCTTATAAATTGTTGTTTATGGCCCTCGCAGTCCGTGGACTTCCGAAAAGTGCCTCCCAATGGGGATCTGCTCCCTTTGTCTGGGCTTTTGACTTCATTTCATATTCATGGACGCGCCGAATTTCACCGCAACTCCATCTTTCCTGCACTGGGTCCTTTGTCCTTTTTTGCTGCTGTTTCCGTTAATAAACTTTGGCAATTATCCTGGCTGCCTGTTGCCGTAAATTACTGGGATTTGTGGCGGCAAAAAGGATCGATCCGGAGATAAAACGTGCAAGTTTTCACTTTCAAGTCTTTACCAAGTCATTGCCTTGATGTCTATATAAATTCCTGAATAGTTTCAATAGTTCTTTGCTTCCTGTTTACCTGTCCTTATCCATTTTATCCAATTCCTTGGAGTGAAAAATCTGTGTGTGTGTGTGTGTGTGTGCGGGAAAAGTGAAAAAGTTGTGACAGAAAACCTGCCTCAATATAATTGCATTACACGTGGCTGTCACATTGAGGAAAAGGCACAAGAGCAAAACTACAGGAAAGAAGTATCAACACTCCTTATATATAGATATATTTATGTATACGTATGTCGTAAGCCGCAAGGACCACAGGACCGCAGTGGGACCACAATCCTCACCTTGGCAGGAGATCCCAGCTCTCAGCTTTCCCGGCAAGACGACGACTTTTCATATTTTCCTCCCCCAAACCATCAACCATACAGTTGTGAATGGCTCTGCTTGTCAGGGTTTTGGGTGGCTTCAGAGTTTTCTTTTCAGTCATTTTACACGGAACAAAAATTATGGGGTATTATATATATTCATTTTATTTATTGAAAATCACCTGAAAGCTAAGCAAGCCTTACTCTGTTTCACTCAGAAGCTGAAAACTAAGTGAAGGAGTCATTTCCGACCCTATAAATCATATATATTCTTGATCAGCATCAATAGCAGAATCGATCTAGACATGTCTGGTGATAAAAAAATTTTGAAATTTTTTCAACATTTTTTAGCCATTTTAGAATTGTCAAAAATTGACAAAAAAATTTTAAAATTTTACATTTTATTTTGAGTATGTAGATTTATTAACGTAGTAATAACTAGCGTAGTACTGCTTTCCGATGGGAAATTAATGCATTTTTGACTGAGTTATGATATATTTTAGCTACAGGGGTATAGAAATTTCACCTCTCTTGTTTTTTATGAAAATTAAATTTTCCCCCAGTGCACTTCCAACTGGTAAAACGAGGAATATAGAGAATGAGAGGTGCTCAGCAAGGGATCTCCTTGGTGTGCCTGCAAATCCTTTTTCTTAACCCAAGCGTGCACATACTTCAAGTGTGCTTAACCCACACTTAGTCTCTGTCTGAGAAACCTCCTCCTGCCCGTCGACCAGTGAAAATCTTCCATGTTTGATGTGGTCTCCGTGCCACAAATCACCCGGGCGGCTGTGTCTGGAATTTATGCGCCTTCTTGGGAAACTCTGGCAGTGCCTGTGTGTCATAGCGGGTGTAGTGGCGGTTATGTCTGTGATTTGGCCCACAGCCACGCCCTAATCTGACACTGATGTACACATTCTATTTGGAGGCGTTAGCGGTGGATACGCATTCAAGCGCACCGCTCCGAAATGAGATGAGCCACCGGGGGCGGCGAACCCACTTGGTTGAGTGGCTCCAAAAACCGAAAACCTTGGACAGTCGTCAAAGAGGCGACAACAACCCAACCGGGCAGGCGGGTGAGCCATTAGCTTTTCACATTTTCCCCATTTTCCCATTCATTTTTCATCTTTCACTGCCACTGACTGTCCTCACTTTCATATTTTTTTGTTCGGTTCAGAGTTCCGGGCTTCGGTGCTCCGGGAGTTGTGTAAATATTTTTACAAAATTATTTTACGCTTGATTGGAACGTGAAACGGAACAGGAAATCACTTATGACATTTTGCCTTTTCCTTGGTTGTGTGTATGGTTGGTTCTATTGATTATTGATTTCGGGTTCAGTAATTTTTTGTGGGTGACAAAAATGATGTGAAAATGGGAGGAATTGATTTTAAATTGCAAAACTCACATTTTCTGCTCATTAAAGGTTATGAATTATGGATATTCTACTGTAGTTTCTACATTATTTTCTATTACTGGTAAATTTATATTACCATTTGCTACCATGTTAGTCTTGTGCTCACAAAGTTTACTACTTCAAGTTATACAATTTGCGAATTATCCGCTCTCAGGTGCTGACTTTCGCATCGTCTTCAGGCAGCAGCTAGCTGCCTGGCTTGTTACAAAGTCCTTTTCCCACCATGTTCCAGGATACAATGCAGCTTCAGGTGGCCTTGTGTGTGTGTATCCTGCTGCAGGAGAGAGGCCGTACAATAAACTGATTGTAACTGCAATCAGTTAGCAGACAAAGCAACAGAACTCGACTCGAGCCAGCTACAAAGGCGACGACTGTTTGCCAAGTTGTAATAAAGTTTGGTAAACAAGTTCCCACACAACAAGCGGAAGGAGTAGCCTTCCTTGTAAACCGAGAATCCCAATCTGGAAGCTGGAGCTCCCTCTATCCAAATCCCATTCCCATTACTCGCACTCTCTTCGAACTTATCTTAAATTCTAATGCAATTGCAACGGGCTTGTGTGGGTTGCTTGTAGTCTCTTTTTTTCCAGGTGTGTTTTGCCAAGATTTCATACTAATGTTCTCTCTCTCTGTATCCTTTCCTTGCAGGTACGTACCTCGATCCGCCATTTTGTTATTCCCCAACAATGTGTATGTGAGTGGGTGAGTGAGTGTAAGTGGCAAACAAATGCATAGTCCTGGCTCCTGCACCTGGGGTATAGATAATAAAGTGCTCGGCAATCGGTTGCCCAAGCTCAGTGAAAAGCGGAAAATGCTCTAGCTTGCTTTTTGGCGTGCGGAACGTGACGCTTATCAAATGCATCAGATTCCGAAACCAAAGAACATTTTTATGGGGCACGAAAATAAAACATACCGACAACTATATGTAAGCCAAACAATGAGCGTGCTCAAATCCTGTTCATGATGGTTACAAGGATTTTTTGATTGGGGATTGCACGCAGGAGTTAGTGCCGAAAAAAGGGGATATAGTGTGTTGCATTTTGCTTGATTTTTACAAACTATTTATCATTATATTATAGATAATTTGCAAGTGTTAAAATATGCCCAAGAGGTATGTGCTTCTATAATTGATATATGATTTATGAACTTTTCTTTTTAAAGATACAATCATTGAGAATATTATACTCGAAATCTATATTAAATCATTTTCTTATTATTTTAATTCAAAATATTATATTCTGGACCGTTTTTCTTCACTTTAAATATAGGTATAACTATTTAGAGTATCCCTTATTCACCTTTAGATTTTTCCCCATCCACATTTTCCCTGCATTTTCCAGTGCAGTTTGTAAGCTTTCATTCCTGCCGGCTGTTGTTTGGCAGTTGTTGTGTAGCTGTTCGCCAGTTTGTTTATTTAATGCTTTTCACTTATCCTGCATGTGCACTCCGGAATGACTAACTGACT